TATATATATATATATAATTAAATACCACTATATATAAATCATTATAAATTGTTTGAAGAAACACTATTTTCTCTTTCTCTCTCTCACTTGTATATTATTCTGATAAATGTATGTCTACATATTATTGTCATAATATAATGTCGAATATTAAATATCTTTTTTCACATTTATTGATTACAGTTAATAATCTACAATAATGGATTTTATATATATATCCTTAAATATATTACTCTCTACCTATATAAGTTACAAACAAAACGATTTTTAACCATATTACAAAAATAATCTTTGTTTGGAAAAAAAGGCCCGTTTAAACTAAGCCGCGAATAGGAACGTTACAATGGCACAATTCCGATAATTTTGATGACACAACAAATATTTGTAGCTATTTTTTTATAACAAAAACAAAAAAAACAAAATTTCATATAAAAATACTATTATTCAAGTTAGAAAACCAAATTGAAAATAAATAATTTTATAAAAACTAATTAAAGTATTTTTAGAGAGAAATCGATAAATTTAATTATAATAATTTGTTTTTAACAACACGAAACAAATCCTTGTCTTACCAAATTGATGAGTCTGCTAAAAATAGATAAAAGAAGAGATTTGCAATCTCAATATTCAAAATATCCCCAGAAAACATTCTCGCATCGTGTGTCATCAAAGTTATCAGTATCTTGTCGTTAAAATCGTTTAAAACACAAAAGAATCTCAGGAATAAGTGGTAACATAAATATAAGCGATTAGCAAGCGGGTCCGGCCCGATCGATTGTACGAAATTGGGACGCAATTTTCATTAATTGGATTATAGGAACGAGGCGATATTTTTTTTGTTGCATCCTCAACATATAAAATTCATAACGTAGCAAATATCCGTTGCAAACATTTTTAATCGCATTCATTGACATGAATTTACCGTCGTCCTTGAAGCGGCACGGCCGCTCTCCTCTACACCTGATTCTTTCGCGCGTACGGTAAATCCTTGTCGAAGGCCAAGAACTTGTACAGGCGTGTCCCGTTATAAGGTGTGTCGCTCCCCGGCGGATGAAGCCTCATCTAAAACAAAGACCGTTCGTTAGATAATTATGACGGTATTAGCGGAAATAATTGATCCGGGATTGTAATTTACATTTTCTTTCGCGCTTGATGTAGGTGATCAATTATTTATCTGCATCTTAATCTGAAGGACTACGTACCACGTGTACTCCTGACTTTCGATGCGTTCCTCGATATCGTGACAGAAAATGTTGAAATAATGTAATGAACAATATCTATTCTGCAAATACTTCATTTATTTATATGCGTGTACGATATGGAAGTAATGATTAACAATTTTTTTCGGAGATTATAAAAAAAATTGCACAATTTTGATTTCCTCTATTAACGCGCGAGATTCTGATCATTTTTTTTCTTTTATAGATTATTAGAATAATATTCATGGTTAACCATTTTTTTTTATCCGTTACAGAATAAATGCTGGCAGTACTTGATAATAGATTCTCCAACATATGACTGACATACCTAAGTCCAGATGTTTGAAAACATCTATACTTTTTGAAGCTCCAACGGAGGGTTAATGATCAATCACCCAGCTGATCCATTGTGCGATTAGTTTTATTAATAATGTTATAAAAATTAATTCCCTCTTAAAAAAGGAAGCTTGAAAAACATAGAGTATCGACTCTATCATTCCTTATTACCATACTTCATGCCAAACATAAATTTGTAAAAAAATGTATAACTGGAGTATTTTTTCGCTATTTTTACTATACATCTCGCTCGTGTTAATTATTCCTTTGTTATCCACTTCTTCATCGTGAGTATTCGATGCGCCAATAATTTGGCTATTGGTATATCGTTCATTAGGAGCATATGTGTGTAATGTATAACAAATATGTAATATGAATATTACATAATTACTACTATATATAATATGAAGAAGTGAATAATCAATTTACGCAATAACCACGAGTTATCTACGTCGCCGTGCTAAGTATTATTTTTTATTTATAAATGTTGAGAGCTCCTTTCTCTCGACGATGCAGCAGCCCCGAGCATTAGTATGGTGTGGCTTTGATTTTATTTGGGTTTTATGATTTGCGTGCGCGTGGATCGCGGCCGTGCAGCATCATTCCCATTTTTCTATTTCTCGACGTAGTCGTTGTCAATGGCTTTCGCATCCCCATCCGGATTATTGAATCGCTTCTGTAACGAGAAAAAAACCGACACCAATCCGTTACACGCGACAATGTTACGATGATGGCATGGGTCGAGCAAATTATTTGTTTAGCAAGCTTTTATACCATCTTATTCTCCACATTAGCGATCAACACTTTAATTTAATTAAAAATCCGCTTAATTTGTAAACTTTTATCAGGAGCTGTACCTTTTTTAACATATCTTGTATAAACTGACTGGAATATCCTCTCTAAATTATCTCATTCTTTGATAATATATATATATTCGCGTTGCTAGTTTTTTATAAATCATATAAACGGTGCATTTTGCGTACAGTGATTTGCGGGAAAATAAATTTAACTCACTCACCATAATTCTGTACTTTTCCTTGCATGCGTACTCAGTTTCGTCCACGTCGTTATAACAGTCACTCTTGTAATCTTCCGGTATCGGGCGACCCTCGAATTGGCAAAGCCTAGAGAGCGGTCTCGCCTTGACCAGCATTTTCTCGAAACCGATCGGTTTGTGTTGCGGACAATAAAACACATCCGGGGTATTCTTGTCGAAGACGATGCTCTTGCGCATTATGTCGCCGCATTGCACCGCGACGAAAAGTGTCTGAAGACAATAAATATAAGTAAAATCTATTTATGAAATTTTAATATCGTATGTGACTGACGGAACATACGTTTTTGATATATAATTTTGAAAATTATGACTAAGAAGTTATAAATTTAAGATTGCGTGCATAATTAAAAATTATATTCATTGCGATTGATCTATATGTTTAACGCAAAATCATCTGCAACGGGAAGGGAAAAATTTTTTAAATTTTATGCTAGCAAGTTTCTCGCGCTTATTTCGAGAATTAGCAAGCGTTATTTATGCGTAATTTGGATTAATTAACCGCGCTATTTCCTATCCAACGCCATGAATCGTTTCAGCCTTCTGCACAGAAAATTCCCACGCTAATGACATGTGTGTGTATGCGGAGAAAACGATCGGCTTCCGGGAGCAGGAAGCATAAGAAAATGCATTCAAGAGTGCATGTGTCCCGCAACGAATGAAAGTCCGGCCACTTACAGCGAATACGGCGAGCAGGCTGCAGACGTATATGTTCCCTGTAAAAAACGAAGTAAAAAGGTGAGTCAGCGCAGAAAAATCAATTACACAACATGGTGCACCAATAAAAAGAGAAGAGAAAAAAATAGAGAAAGGATCCGGAATATTGCCCGGCAGCGATCGGAGTTTGCACAAGTAAAACCTTGCAATTCTATCATTAAAGACAAAAGTATATTGTGAGAATATAAAAACATAACACACACACACATTGAAGTATACAATTCCTAGAGATTCTATTTTATATTATATTTCTAAATATTGAATAAATAAAAATTATTTACTTCTTTTATTTATTTTTTTAATTGACAAATTATTCAAATAGTTAAATGAGAATTTTATAATTTCTATAATTATTTAAGCAACTTATTTTTGAGATATAGGTATCTTACATCTTTTCACAAAAAAGCTTGTCATTTACAATCACCTTTAGATGTCCATTAATAATTGAGATCTAAATTTAGATAATTTCTTTTTTAGCCGCATAATTGCGATTACAAGTCTCGATAAAAGCGTACATCTATTTTTTCCCTCGCAAGCCAATTAATACGCGCGTTTCCACACTCCTTTCGATTCTAGGTCAGTGTTTACCGTCGCGAGCATATCTTTTCGCATCGCGCGGTTGCACGTGTATTTTTCTTTCACGGCCAACGGCTAAAGTCGGCTCCGAACCGTCACGCGAAAGGTTTCTTTTATTTCATGCTGACCCAAAATTAATCGAAGCGTCTCAGCTTTTTGACATTATCGCGACTCCACGAAACTTTCCCCGTTATTTGCGCAATAGCATACATATACATATATCTAGCGTATCCTGATCAGTTGCAGTCGATGCATTGGAATAAATTCGCGTCACACATTGCCAAACCGTCAGATAAATCTCTCTACGAATCAGAAAAAAATACAGACTCATTATTTTTCTATTCCTAAAAAAAGAAGAAATATAGCTCATTTCTAAGCATTCATTCGGAGAAGAAATATCGCGTCGCTGATGTCGATAATTGAAGTACAGCATTGCATAATGTTGCAAACATACATCGGGATGCATTCGAACGTGACATTTTCACCGCGAGAGATTTATCTTTATCATCGTGGTATTTCGCGCAGCATCCACGGATAAAATAGACTGTAATAGTTGTGTAATTTAAATTTAATGGCCAAGATTTTTTTTACTTTTTTTCCCCCGTATATTCAAATTTTCCCATACTTGATTTGATTTTGCAGAAATGTGTTTATTAGATTACTTTCGTTGCGCTCGAGATGCATTTCAAGTTGTCCATAATAAAATGTCTCAAAAGTTTATCATATTTTTTCTCGTCTATGGATTTTTGTTAATTCCATATTTAGCAAAATAATGGATATCAGATAAAAACATTCGAGATTGACGTCGAGAAATGAAGAAGCATCTAAAAACTCTACATTGTTTAATATAGGAAATATATATAATATAAAACATAATTATATATATGTATAAAGACTTATCCCCTTTAAATAAATTTTTAAATTTTCTAACATTCTAAGATCCAGGAGAGGAAGTCGTCAACATCAGTCAAAATAATTTTTCTTTGAGATATTTACAATAATATCTAAAAATCTCTTTAAAAAATATCCAAAAGATTCTAATCAGATGCTTGAAAAGATTAGAATCTCTTCTTCGACATCTTTACATACTTTAAAGTTTTTGATTCGACAACGGATCGTTTTGTAAAATTGTTCGAGCGTGAGGATACGTGCTTAAATTTACATGATGATGGCACACATTGCGAATACGCGTGCTCAAGGAAAGATCTAAGATCGTTTTTCGCGATAGGCGAGTAAAAAATTCCAGCGCGGCGCGCGCAATGTCCTGTTATCCGATATTCAATCAGCTTTCGTCTGATGGGGATTGCGTAGGTGTCGAAAAGAAGCCAGCTGAGTCAGCCAGATCTCGTTCGACTTACCCATGCTGTTTTCCGGCGACGGACGTTCGTTCGCACCTGTTGATCCTCGCGATGCAGCGTCTTCTCGTCGACTGAATACTGAACCGCCGCCGCCGCGTCCTCTTTGCACGAAGACCGTTCGTTAGGTAGCACACTATGGACCCACATCCGGGGCCTAGTGTATAAAAGAGAGGGAGTCCTGGCCGGAAAGAATATTAATAGTGAAATTGCAATAATCAAATTCAAAGTTTAAAAGATTTAATTATTTTTATTATTAAACATACGATTATATTATTAAACGTATATTTATTGACATACAAAATGACACTTGAATAAGTAGCCTGATCTTAGTTTCAATAAAATTATCGTTAGTAAGAGTAACTAATTTAAATAAGATATATCATTCTGATGATTTTTTAAATATGTTGTTAAATAAAAATATGAATGTGAATGTGTATGTGATTATAAATCATCAAACCATATGTTTGTGCTTAGGGCCTTAAAATACCTTAATCCGCTGCTGAGTATAGGATGTCTCAAACGTGAGAGTCGTCGATGAGAAATTGCGCGTTTCATAAGCAACTGACAATATCTTTCCTTTTATAGGTGTAGGATGAATCGTTGAGCGTCATCCTTGCGAATCGAGTCGATGAAATAATTGAAGAGTTAAGTGGATGAAGGCGGTACATTACAGAAGCCGATCTGCAAGTGTACTATACGCGCACATTTAACGGTTTTCTCGAATAACATTCAATTACACGCATAACATTCATAAATATGTAAATCTAAAAATCCAACATATTCGATTACTTGCTACTCAATTAAACATAGCGTATAATGTAATGTTTAGATGTCAATGAATTTTCGGTAAATCAAGAATGGGAAAAAGGTAGGCGTTATGTGGGCAGGCGGCTTCGTCTTTCCCTTATTCGGCGGTAACGTCATCGTTATTCTTGGCACTTTCGAGAAGATACCGAAAATTAAACACTACTATTCTGAAAAAATTAATTATATACATTTTTTACTTTAAATATTACATACATTATATATACATACACATATATATTTATTTCCATTAAAAAATATATTTCAATTAAATTTAACATAAAAAATATATTTCCAAAAGTTTTTCACGCACTGCGTAATTTAAAACGCATAAAGTCACAATGTGACTATCAAGAGATGATTACTGCCAGTAGTTTTCTATATATCACCCTGTAATAATATTTATATATTCGTAAAACTTTACTATATATGTATATATTTAAAAAACGCAATTAAAAAATTTATATATACTCACAATCGCATCAAAATCAAAATCGCATGTATCAGATAAAGAAACCATATTCTCTGATTTATCATTATTGTCTTTTGTAATATCTTTTTCATCTGTTTTGACTGACTGCATCATGGACAAGTCATCGTTATTAGATTGTTCATTATCTCTCTCTTCCAACTTTTTATGTCTAAAAGAATATTTATCAAAACGATTTATATTGAATTCGTATTGAATTCCAAATACAAGTCTTAATTTTGGTTGAGAATACTCACTTCCTAGTACTAAGAGGTTGCTTCTTCTCTAAGAAAAACAAATTTTTTATCCTTTCTGTAACCGGTTTGCATTTTTCTCTCATAAACTCGGGTGGCTCTAAAAGATTTTTCACATCGTCGGCTATAGATGGCAACGGTTTGTCTGGTTTAAGCGCGCGAGTTGATAACATATCCCACATATGTTGTGCTCCGGGGTCTGGCATATATCCCGGTAGATATTTTTCGCTAACATCAATTGCGTCATCGTCGGTACTGTAAAAAAATTTAATAAAGGATATTATTCGTATTACTTTGTGATTTATATATATTAAATATATATATTTACTATACTTACGCATCGGGCAATTCTAAAGATGTCAACAAGTCGTCGATAGCATCGTTTTGCTCTTTCGACAATTGCTTCATCACGAATTTCAAGGGTCTCTGCGCTATCGCACCGTAATCTCGTTCAAATGGCAAGCCAATCTCAATAAGACACTGTCACAAACATATTATTATTTGATAGATGCAATAGTAAAAAGTAAAAAACAATGATTCTCACCCAAGGTTCATTCGGTACATCAACACTCGGAAATAATGCGACCATGTTAGCTTCAGTGTTTGCTCTGTAAACCTTCTCCACTATAGCGACTACATTCTTGTCAACCATGGCTTGCACCAGACTATAAAATGGTGCACTTACCGACTGTAAGAAGTATCTTATTCATTTTTATTATCAAATCAGTGATGTCTTATGATAGCTACATAAAATGATAAATAATATTATACCTCGTTAGCCGGTACGATAACATACGTGCCATCTGACAACCAGTATTCCATAGGGATGTTTTCTCTTGCAGTGAAACCATGTATCTTATAACATTTTTCGTTAGTTTTGGGAGTCATTGCCTTCTTAGCCTCATCTAAGGTCAGCATATTCCGTCAATCGTTTAAATCTATATTAGTAGGGCAAAATAATAGGGCATAATATATACTAGAAATTAAAATGTAAGTTACCCGAAACCGGAATAGGCCTGCCACCGTACACATAACCACGGATAATATCCTCTTTTGTGTGAACAGTCCTGTTGTTATCCTTCCATTGTGGAACATTCTTAATTGGCACTTCCTGATCTGGCATATCGGGTGTACTCGTCTTACCCATCAATATCATTTGTGGTAACTTTACTTCTGTCGGCATCTTGTAACATAAACAATACATTATATATATAATATATTGTTATATATATATATATATATATATTGCATGTATAAAGTTAGTTTTACTTTGGAAATTCCAACAATAGGTATGTAAAAATCACCCAATTCCATCAGACAGTACCATGTCATCGGTTTAGTTGATGGTCGTTTATAGAAGCGTACTTCTGACATAGCATGTTCGAAAGTGAAATATTGACCATCAATCTACACAAAATATTATATATTATTTATTATATTACATATTATTCATCTCGCCTGCGCGCGCGCGTACGAGATTGATTAATGTCCATTTAGATCATTGACTGAATTACCTTTCGTAAAACACTCTTAAGTAATGCTTCACTAGCTGTTTGAGAATCTTCATCTATATTATCCAACGCTCTTTCTCCGCTGCAATATATATATCATATATTTTTATTTTTTCTTGTAATTATTATTACTAATAATTGTCGACACAAAACCAAGGAAATTAATTCATTAAACATACATTGCCATAAGTGAAATTTCCTCTTCACTTAATGTCTTTACAATATCATCCATTTGGAATTGGCACACAATATCCTCTTCCTCATTAAAATCAGACAGCAGGATTATTTTTCTTTCAGATTTGTCTCTGAAACAAAAAACAATAAATTTGATATATATTTAAAAACAATCGATACTTTATATTGTTAGGTATATTTACAGGCACTCATGGTTGATATATTCAACTGCAGCATAAATTGCCTCCATCCAAGAACAATTCTGGTTTGTGGTTTGTAATTTCTCGATGCTTTCTATCAAATCCCAATTTCCAACTTGCATACGACACAATTCTTGTACATTGTCTAATTCTATGATATTGTTGTCTTTACTGTTATCTGATCCCATTAATATCACTCCTATTTCATCCTTTGGACGCAGAAATATCTGAACAGGATTATATTTTTATGATTAAAAAGAAATATAGATATAATACAAAAAAATACAGAGAAAACTGTTATTAATAGTCTGATGTAAAGAAACGTACCTTCTTTTGAATAATGTGTTTAAGAATAAATTTCGCTTTATCTAGCAACTGTGAATTGCTCTGAGTACCATGCCGAATAATTCCGACATTTACAAGGAAAATTATACTTTCCTATATAACAAAAATACAAAGATCAAAATTTATTATAAGATAAAATATCGTTTTTTTAAATTTATTGAATATAAATTCTAAAAAACATATATAATATGTATTTAACCTGCTCGACAAGAGATCTTTAATAAATAAATAATAAAATATATACACACACAACCTTTGATTTTTTCGGTGGCATTTTTCTGTGAATGTTATTTTATATCCACACCCTTGATTCAGAATAACAGAGAGAAGATTTCTTTTTGATAATTAAAACAATTCTTTTTATCGATCAGAAACAGGGATTGCCGGATTCAAAAGACGTTTATTGTTAAATTCCCGGTCGGCAGCGCCTCTGCATTCATTTTAGGTCTGATGGAACTACATAGCCAAATCCACTTTTCGATGCCATTGGTAAAATCTTTATATGTAATAAAATATAAATTTTCTTTAATAAAATAAAAGTTATCTGCAATAAATTTTTCCCCCTTTTATTATTTATGGAACAAAAATATTAATCAAATTATTTCCGAAATCGCTACTCCTTATCATATTTTTTGTACGATATACAATACGATATCGGTAATTAAACTAGTTGGAAGCAAAAAATGTGGAACGCTTCACGATTTTGCGTGTCATCCTTGCGCAGGGGCCATGCTAATCTTCTCTGTATCGTTCCAATTTTAGTATATGTACTGCCGAAGCAAGTACAACTACTTAGCTCGAAGAAATTCCTTATAAACTAAGTATCATCGCAAATGTACTTGCGAGAAACTAAAAGTGACAATCGATTCGCCGCCTAGTGGTGAAACTATATACTATATTATTGTTGTAGACTTTGTGACACGTGTCTCTCTTTCTCTTTGATTATTTTTGATTAAAATATAAAAATGATTTTTTTAAACGCACAATATATTCTGTTAATAAACTTGGGTCTACTGTCGATCCATACTAGTGTAGGAGAGAATAAATACTCTGTCGAGGCAAATAAACCTAAACATATAGATTCTTCGCAGTTTTCAATCTCTCTCAGAGACTTGGATAAACCATTTAGGATGGCAAAATTAAATATACTTTGGGTTAAAGCAAAAAACGTAAGTTGAGAATTATAAGTAAGATAAAATTAATATACATATATATATATACATATATATAATTTTTTTTTATTTTAGCGCCTGACAGATAGCAAGCTACAGTCAATCTTCAGTGATCTGAAGATTCACGATAAGGAAGAAATCGCATATAAGCATTTCAAATCTGATGGAAAAGATCCTGAAGGTTTGGAAGAAGCGCATTTAAGAAAGAAGCTCATTGGTAATTTTGTATTATTTTATTTTTATTTCCTTTGTTTTTCACAGAACTTTAATCTCACATAATTTTATTTGATTATAGGAATAATGAGCACATATGATTTACTGGAACATTTTACTGAAACAGAAGATCCAAAATTACTTAAGATACACAAAGCACTGAACGATGGTAGTAATTATGTTGCCAAAGATATATTTAAGGATATAAGACTAAACAAATTGTGGGCTAAAGCTGAAATGGCTGGTTTTACTGGTATACATATTTTACATAAAATATAAAAATAGCTATTTATATATATATATACATATTTTTTTTTGTCTTAGATGAGGAGCTTGAGACTTTAAAACAAGAATTCCAACATTATCAAGAAAAAGTGGATGAATATATGAGTTTATTGAAAGAACAATCTGGAGATTCAGAAAAGTCTGAAAGTTAGTATTTTCATACGCATAGTTTATTCTATCTTTATACTTTATATATTCATTGAACATTTTTAGATATGTTACATCTCAAACCGGAAAGATGGAATGTGTTAGAAGAAGAGGAGGAACTGTCTAAAAATATACCAGACAAGAAATTAAATCACATGGCAAAAACAAATTTACTTCGGTACATATATTGAAATATTTTATACATGTATGGATTTGTGTGTACTAGCTTTTATTATTATTTTTATTTCAGGGAAAAACATTTGGAACTACAAAATAAATTCGATCGCTTAGACAGACTTACTGCAAAGGGACCGAACCACAGAGATTTCATAGAACCCAAAGTACAAGGACTGTGGAAAATCGCATTGGAAGCAAAATTCTCCTCTGAAGAATTAGAATCTTTAAAAGTATAATAATAATAATAGCAATAATTACAATCTAATTTTATACGTTTTTTGTCATTTCATACACATTTGTAGCAATAATTAGTTGAATGCTAAATAATAATCATAATTTTGCTATTTTTGTTAAAAGAACTATTAGTAATTTTTTTGTTCATAAGTTAACTTATAAATAAATTTGACATGCATATTAGTCATGTCAATTATCATATTAATATGTGCATTAATATTAACATGTATATGTTACAGGAGGAACTTTTGCACTATGAATCAAGGTTACTTAAACTACGACATCTGCATACTGAAGGAGCTTTGGAAGCAGCGCGAAAAGGGCAACTTCACGAGTTAGATAATTCAACTACCGAGCAACATATAAAAAAACATGTTAGAACGGTGCAAAAACTTCATATGGATCTAGAGAACAAAATCATGCAGAAGCATACAGAATTGTAAGAAGGTAGAAGATAAACATTTACTATTTACAAAATATTAAAAGGTGCGTAATTTATTAAAAATATGTACAAATAGTCAAAAAAGATGATTATTATGAAATAAATTAAGAAACAATTATTTGTAAAACTGTTTATATTCAAATGAATTATTAATTAATATTCTTAGCAATAATTTTTATAAAATAATATTTTTATAAGTAAAAAGTTGATTTATACTATATATATATAAAATATTAAAATATATTATTACAAAACATTTGTGTAATATAAATTGAATCTCTTATAAACAGTGTGAACACAACAAATTATGGAACTGTTTTATTTTTAAGTCATACACATAACAAATGGAAGAATTGTGAATGTGTTGCTTGGATACATTTATAGTATTTTAATTATAATTAAATTACTAGCATTATAATTATAATCGATTAGCAAGTTTACTAATAATGGTCTTCTTTTTCTCTCTTGATCTCCCTTGATCCTTTGATCCGACTAGTTTTTCACATTCGCACCAAGGTGTGCTTGATTTATCACACAACAGAGAGATGTTGATCACTGTTAAAGGAATATCCGATATAGTCATCTTAATTGTATCCAGTATTTTATATGAGACATTGTTTAAGCCAGTCTGTCGATCTCGTTTTCTAGTTATTTCCCGTTGATTGTAACATTTTGTTGTATCTCTCTTTCTATGATTTCTATCATGTATATGCCTGTAATATATGTTCCACATATAACAATCGGCAGCCTCTGATATCACAACTTTTGTAACCATTCCATTTTATAGTTTATGACACATATTTGTATTCGTATAACATGTATTCGATCCTATTCTTTCAAAAACAATACTTACTTAAATATATTATGCACTCCTGTTGATATATTTTGTGGACGACTGGGACTTAGGCCAGCTTCTTTCAGTCTAAGATAAAATTCATCATCTTCCAGTCCCCATCCCCAATATTTGTTGGACATACCATTTACTTGTATGAAATGCTCCCTGCAAAAACATATATTTAACACATTTAGTAAACTAGTCACTATATATATATATTATGAGCATCTATTTAATCAGGATTTAAAGCATACCTTTTAATGAGCAGTATACCACCAATAAAAGCATTATAATGATATCGGGGATGTAAGTCTGGTGATGATATGTGATGTGGCTGTGCACTTGGATATGCGTATGATAACTGATCGTTCATAGGCAATAGATCTACATCGTGCATTGCAATGTAATCAAATGCTTTCTCTGTTTCAAAAAAGCCTACATTTATAAGAGATGCTCGATTGAATCTATATCTATCCATCTGGAAAACACAAAAATATAAAGATAACTTAAAAAGAGTGCTTCTATTACTCTTAATTTTTGTTTGGATATTTCTCTCTGTTATAATACCTGATTTAATACAAATATATGATAATCTATGTTTTGCTTGTCTAAAAATTTCTGCATATGTGGTACAAACATTAGCAGTTCTTCAAAACGATCTCTAAATGGCACCAGTATAGCTAATTGGTGCTCAGATCTTTTTTTATGTCCATTAATCTCATTTGTTAATTGCTTGAGATGTTGATCTGATTGTGTATTTGTCTATAACAATCGGCAGCCTCTGATATCACAACTTTTGTAACCATTCCATTTTATAGTTTATGACACATTCGTATTCGTATAACATGTATTCGATCCTATTCTTTCAAAAACAATACTTACTTAAATATATTATGCACTCCTGTTGATATATTTTGTGGACGACTGGGACTTAGGCCAGCTTCTTTCAGTCTAAGATAAAATTCATCATCTTCCAGTCCCCATCCCCAATATTTGTTGGACATACCATTTACTTGTATGAAATGCTCCCTGCAAAAACATATATTTAACACATTTAGTAAACTAGTCACTATATATATATATTATGAGCATCTATTTAATCAGGATTTAAAGCATACCTTTTAATGAGCAGTATACCACCAATAAAAGCATTATAATGATATCGGGGATGTAAGTCTGGTGATGATATGTGATGTGGCTGTGCACTTGGATATGCGTATGATAACTGATCGTTCATAGGCAATAGATCTACATCGTGCATTGCAATGTAATCAAATGCTTTCTCTGTTTCAAAAAAGCCTACATTTATAAGAGATGCTCGATTGAATCTGTATCTATCCATCTGGAAAACACAAAAATATAAAGATAACTTAAAAAGAGTGCTTCTATTACTCTTAATTTTTGTTTGGATATTTCTCTCTGTTATAATACCTGATTTAATACAAATATATGATAATCTATGTTTTGCTTGTCTAAAAATTTCTGCATATGTGGTACAAACATTAGCAGTTCTTCAAAACGATCTCTAAATGGCACCAGTATAGCTAATTGGTGCTCAGATCTTTTTTTATGTCCATTAATCTCATTTGTTAATTGCTTGAGATGTTGATCTGATTGTGTATTTGTCACACTTGCATTCATCTGTAATAATGAAATCTTGTATTAATTTTTGATATTTGAAAATACAGACTTAAGAGATTTAACAAATAATAAATTGTTTTACAATTATTGTTAATAAAATTTTTCATTATTTAGTATTTTTTGTATAATATATAAAAACCATATATAAAATAAAATATTATACATATACAGTTTTTATTATACATATATAATTTATTTTTAGAAAAAATAATGAAATTAATTACATACATAGTGGTTCATAATGTCCATTTATTTAAATTTTGTATATGTAATATGTGTATATAATATATATATATATATACGCCAAGTCGCCAGCGTCATCCGGCGCCCGGCCGCCATCGGCATTAGACGCCCGATCACCAACAGCCTCCGACGCTCGTCCGACAGCATCAGGCGCACGATCTAACTTCATTTCTAAGGGCTGCTGCATTATTGTGAATCTGAAACATAAAACAAAACATGGGGTTTATTATTTCCTTCTATTGCTCGTTCCTGCTCCGGGGAAATACACAATGTGGACGAATGTCCACATGATGGACCTTTTCGAGCTCAAAATTGCACGGCGTACATGAGCGGAAGGATAAAAAGAATAAAACAAAAAACTTGTCCGCTATTTCAATATAAAATATGGCTCGGAGGTACATGAATAATAAAATAAATATTTGGAAAACTTTCGTTATGCGTTCTATTCGCTGGGGATGATAGATTCTATCGATTATCGTCTAGTCGTGCTATTGAGGAAGCACTGAGCTATTTTACAAAATACTACAGTGCATGATAAAAACGAGAGAAAATATTTTATCGAGCTAGTGTAGAAATTCTAATTGATTTGTTTATTCTTATCGACAACTATAATAAAATTCACATATGCGGATATTCTTTTATTTCGAGTCAATATCGAACAAACATGTTTTCAAAAATCTTATATAAAAAGAGAAACTTCTGTGAAATTTTTATCTTCACAATTTCTTATGTTAAATTCTACATTGATAATGTAAGTCTAATTTTAATATACGCTGATTACTGCAAGATGTATGAAACTTTTGTCATAACTTTCGAAATAAAGGATCTCAATTAATATTTATTTTTTAAATTTCTAATAATTATAGTATGCGTATGTGTAATTTATTACAAAGGTAATATTAATGACGTATATCAATGAACACGTTATACAGATGTTCTTTCTCTTTTTTTCGATTATTATATATTATATTATATTTAAACTACATTGATTACCTTGATATTCGTTTGATGATCGGGTGTTGAAGTCTATGCCGATATCAAATCTTTGTCTCGTATTTCTCTTGCCTCTCATGCCTTGAAAACCTATAGGTGCTCTTTTATCGGGATCTTTTTTGCCTCACATTCCTTGAAATCCCATTGGTGCCCTCTTGTCGAAATCCATGTCAGGATCCATGTAATAATCTACGTAATTTTCGAAAGCATTTTTCTTGCCTCTCATGCCCTGAAAAGATGATTAAATAAATAATTAATGAACATTTCTTTTTAGATGTTTTCTGTTTGTGTGTGTTTTTATACTATTACTAAAAAAATTGAGCTAATAACAAAATATATATTATTCATTTCTTTTTGTAATAATTATGACAAAATTATATACTATTTTATGTATATTTTCGCTTTTTCCTTGAAATGGATAGTAGATATATAACTTCACAATTGAGCAAATAACCTGAAAACCCATGATAGTTCGTTTCTCAAGTTCTTCTATCTCGTTGAACAATGATTTCTTGCCTCATCCCTTGAAATCCCATGAGAGCCCTTTTCTCCCACTCTCCCGGAAATTCTTTCAACTTGTCACGAGTACCTTGAAATCCCATTGCGAGAAGTCTCTTTTCGTAATCTTCCGGATATTCGAAAACGTATGTCTTTTTCTCTCTCGTACCATAAAAGTCCATCGCGACCTTCTTTTCAATTTCACCTAACACCTGTTTATATATTCAATTTTCAGGAAAATAGAATATAACATAAGAAGTAACATTAAGAATTTTAAGTAAATATCGCTAATTAAAAATAGATTATATTTAAATGCTCGTGGATGATTAAAAAATGTTATAATTAAATGTTTATGGGATAATTACGTATTTCCATTTAAAACAGAAGACTCAGAGAGCAAAAAGTAGATTATAATTTATAACATCCATTTGTGTACGACGTCATACTTCAAAAGAATACTTAAAGAATTATGCATTTTATTGTCTTAAATTCTCTTCAAGTGCAATAATTTAATTAATATTGAATATTTTTAGGCTTACCTCTTCCAAAGACTTCTTTCCTCTCATTCCTTGAAATCCCATTGGTGCTCGTTTATAATACTCATCCTCCGAAACAATTTTCTTGCCTCTCATACCCTGAAAACCCATCGGTGCTTTTTTCTCGTTACGAAAGTAGGAATCTTCGAAATCAGGCGTCAAATAATCCTTTTTCCCTCTCATACCCTGAAATCCCATTGGTGCCCGTTTCTCAAACTCGTGCAAAAGATTATCTTCAATATCGGGCGCGTTCGACTCCTTATCATCACGCGTATCCTATAATTAACACATTTTGTTTCTCATAAATAATTCAGAAAGTAAGAATTAAGTAAAACGATTTCCTTTTTGGCTTTTTCTTCGTATTAATTTTTAATAGAGAAATAGCTTACTTGAAAATCCATTAGCGTTGTCTGAGACAATTTATTATGTTCTAACGAAGTGGGGATGAGATTTTTCTTTCCGCGCATACCCTGAAACCCCATAGGCGCTCGTTTGTCGGACATAGCATCGCTGGGAGATGATTCTTCCGCAATCGCCGAATTGATCCAGACTGCCAGAAAAAGAACTGAGTTGATAAGCATTCTGAAACATATCGAAAATAATTGGTTAATATCTGTAAAAAAATATTTATTGATTTAATTATCTTTCACTTTGGGGGCATCAAGAATTAATTAAATATAAATATCCACCAAACTTCCGTAAAGTGGTACAATCTATCGCGCTAATCTCGTTGTTGTATCTTGACATACATCGTACATGAAAGTCACGCTACATCAGACTAAACTAATTTATCAATGTGTCACCGTAACTGCATTTGATTATCAGAAATTTCTAGTCGAGAGTAATTATTAATCTGGATATAATCCTCAAATATTTAAGAAATGTCAATTCCAATTATATATTTGCTGTTTATTAGAGCTTGAAGCACATATAAGAAGAAAGAGCAGACAGGCTATTTATATTTGAAAAATTGAAAAATTAATATTTTTTGTATTCTGATGAATTGTAGATTATCAAAAAACAATTCTTTGTAAGTTATTAAAAAGAAAAGGAAAGAGAAAAATTGATTATTTAATAAACAATTGAATTCTTTATTTGCGTCAATAAATTATGTAAATTTAACATATGAGCAATATGTATGCAAATAAATTTTGCTGCTATTCTATATAGGAGATATAAGAAGATTAAAGCACGCTTTTCGTATGATATATTATATTTATGCGTGTAAGAAAATTTACCGTAAAAAAAAATTGTATCGCGAGGGGATAATATTTTCGCGAAAGCAAAACGTATAAAAAATAAGAATAGACGCTGAAAATTTAGGAGAATTTAAAAATGCTTTTGCGATATTAAAAAAATTCGCGTGTTGCATTAAAAGAGCATCTTCGAGAGAGAGAGAGAGAGAGAAAATCGAATGAATTTAAATCCGGGAAGTTAAAAGTGGTTCGTGTGCCGATGTCGAATCTAAATACAATGAAAAAAATGGCGTTTGTATATAATTACGTTCTTGTTGTGCTTCTCAATAGATTATACAATTTTATATACGAGTTTAAAAGTACCGCTACCTTTCAAAGTAAAGCTATAATTGGCGAATGGAAGGATAGGATAAAGGCATACTTTTCTCAAAGCATTTTGCGCCACGGCAAGACCGAAGAATATCAATAAGCCATCGAAAGATGGGCAAGATACATTCCAGTTGCTAATCGAGAATGAGTTTTAAATATTTTCCTAATAAAAAATACCTGCACAGACTTATTGGCAATTTCTGAGATTGAGCAAAAACATTTAAATAATAATTTTATTTAATAAATTTAATTTAAATAATAGTTTTTTAAATACATTAAAGACTATTTGCTTATATATTTTGATAATACAAATTTTTCTTCAACACACTATATGCGAATTGTTCCATATAATATAATTTTTTTTATTAGTTATTTTCTTTTGCAGTATAACAGAATAACTTCATATGTGCGCGATAAAAGTATCTATGCGGTTATATTATATATAATACATTCGTTTAGCTAATTATTTTTTATAACAGATTGTTAATTACGTAAATAAAAAAAAAATAATTATCTTTTAATAGTATTTATCTGTTAATAGTAATCAAATGTAATCAATTTTATTTAGCAGATTTACTAAAGTTTAATTTTTATTAATGTTCGATATCTTATCTATAATATTATTTCCTTATATTTAGAAATATAAAAAAAATTGAAGAAAATAAATAACACATGATTTTTTTTTACTTAATGACATGCAATAGACCAGTGTCTTATGTGTAAAAGCTATTGACTGAGTAACGTTGTTATATTTTATTTTTTTTTAATATTCTTTTATGTCCTATTTATTATCGCCGTCGTATTGTGTGAAACGTTGATCAATTTCAGTTTAATACGTTTCTATTCAGCGCGATTCAATATCGTTTGTAAACACATGGCATTGGCATGTTGTATCTATACCGCGTAAATATGTGAATGAATTAAATAATTCCAGCGCATTATAAATTGTGTCGATGTTGAATCAACGCATTTTCTGACCAAACAATTAAATAATTGCGCATTATATCATTAAGTATAGCAAAAATAATATTGCCTTTACTCTTTTCGAAATGAAGGCGATAAGTTTTGTTCATAGACATGAAGAAATAAACTCTCGTATATGTAATTCTATCGCATATATTAAGTCAAACTTTGTGGAAAAAAGAAAAAAAAGAGGTATCAGTTTTTTTCCATCCTTTGATTTCCGTTCGCGAG